GGGCGCTTAATTGGTCCGCACCTTCTTCCAAATCGTCTTACAGGTCCTATTTATTTAACGTTCCTACAACAAGTACTTCCAGAATTATTAGAAAATGTGCCATTGAACATTCGACAGGAAATGTGGCTGCAGCATGATGGTGCGCCAGCGCACTTTTCGCTTGTTGTCCGAGATCACCTTAATCAACAATTCGGTGTAAGATGGATTGGCCGTGGAGGACCTATGGCGTGGCCACCACGTTCCCCAGACATGACCCCGCTTGACTTTTATTTGTGGGGCCATATGAAGAGTCTAGTTTATGAAACTCCTGTTGAGTCAGAAGAAGATTTGGTAGCACGCATTCTAGCTGCAGCGCAGGAGATCGAAACGACGCCTGGCACTTTTGACCGAATGTACACAAATATGCTTCGAAGAATTAACGCTTGTATCGCTACTGGTGGCCGTAATTTTGAGCATTTACTGTAATTTTTTTGTGCAAAATAAAAATACCTTTTAAACAACTTTAACTTTTTGTATCTCGAAAACTAGCATAGCATAGAAAAACATAGTTTTTGGAGCATAAGGTGACCTCAGTAATGTAAATGTTAATAACTTGATAATTACTCATTTTATGGAAGTCTAACAAGTATACATTATTTACGTAAAAAATACTAGTAAATTCTATAACGTACGAAAAACGAATATTTGTACAGTGCCGCACAATTTAGGGGGGATAAAAGGTGAAACGACACCTATCGCACGCCACTAGAAGAAGCCAATAAATGGTTTCTGCCATATTTATGCATCCTTTAAGCTAGTAAATCTGTCTGTTGAGTTTGATAAAGAAATATTAACTAATACCGGAGCTACAGGAAAAAATAGTTTATTATTTTTCAATTTCAACGCCCTGTATCTCGAAAATGAGCCGCTTTAGGACATATGTTTATTAAGTAAACTCCAATTAGTATTGAATTTTTTACATACCATATCCGTTTGTAACACCTATTCATTAACACCCTGTATAGTCTGTTTGATTAGCTAACTCGGTCACCCATTTCTGGGCACTCTGTAAAGTGTACAGGGTGTGCCATTGAACACTCCCGCTGCCAATATCTCCGAAACGAAGAAATTTATTTTAGTTCCGGGAATTGGGGTTGTTAGGTACCTCGAATAGCTTCAAATTGCAGTTAAAATTGTTAGTTCAAATCTTTCTTTATAGATGGCGTGGCGATACTAAAAAATTTTTTGTTCCCTGTAATGTGGAAATGCGGTCCATCTGAAAGATCGTTTGTAATATTAAGTTTTTCCCAATACATATTTACTTGTTTTAGAGACATGTCGACTGCAATAGGCAATGTATGATGTAACAGGAAAATCTATTATTTTATTTAAATCACACTGAAACAAAATATTATTTTAAAATATTGTTATAATGGCTTTATTCACACCACATACTAACTAACAAATATATAATAATTATAAAAAAAAAACAAATGATCAACGATAGAAAAAGTAACAGAAAGTATTTAAAATAATAACGGATATGTAGATGTATAGTTACTGAAGTAAGTTAAAACAAAGATTATAATAAATATTCAAAAATACGTCCTTCAGCATTAATACACAATTAATACAGAACGATTTGAACTAACAATTCTAACTGTAATTTGAAGCTATTCGAGGGACCTAACAACCCCAGTTTCCGGAACTAAAATAAGTTTCTTCATTTCGGAGATATTGGAAGTGTTAAATGGCACACCGTGTATATGCAGGCTGTTACAAATTCACTTCTCACTACAGGGATCTCGGAAACGGTAAGAGATACGAGTTGCGTAATCAGGAAATCAACATTATGCCTCTAAAAAATCAAGGCTAACATGATTTATTTTCGAAAAATTTGAAAAAAACCGAAATTTTGGAAATTCGTATTTGTTTAATTTCAGCCTTATTTGAAGTGATATTGAAAAAAGAAAAACAGTTTCTCATGGCCACTTTTTGCCCTCTATCAAATGGCATAATCAATTTTTATATATAACGTTTCGTCTCTCCGGGACCGTCATCAACTTCATTTTTTAAAATACGACCCTAGAAATTTTATTACAGTTTTTGCAAGCCTTCATGACCCCCAATACAGTACTGTCTCAGCCTGAACCAGATTCAGACG